TTGTATAAAATAGGTCGTCTATTCTTATCCTTGACAATTTTTTGGCTCATTTTTCAGTATACAGACGTCGGTTTTTTTTTGTAATGACGTTGTTTGTTAGAACAACGATGGTGATGTACCCTAACCGCTATTTCCACGTCAATATTAATGGAAAAACGAAGTGGAAAAAGTATTTCACGACGGTTATATAAATACATTGGACGTCGTATGTTTAAATAACGTCGGATTTAATTTATTTAAAGACGTATTGTATTTATTTAAACGACGGAGTTTGTATAAAATAGGTCGTCTATTCTTTTCCACGACAATTTTTTGGTTCATTTTTCAGTATACAGACGTCGGTTTTTTTTGTTCATGAGGTTGTTTGTCATTACAACGACGGTGATTTCGCGTCGTGGTTTTACTTTGCAAAAGATGTCGGTCGATGTTACGACGGTTTGAAAACCCGATACACGACGGTGAATTTCCGTCGTCTTTTGCCTTTTCAAAGGGAGTGTGGGGCATGGACGGTGGTGAGTAGGTGCGAATGATGGTAGCGATATGGCGGTGCTTGCGTTTGGCAAGACCGTTTTGTTGGGGAGTGTGAGGGCAAGAGAACCGTTGTTGAATTCCCAACTGTTGACAAAATTGAGTAAATGAGGTGTTGACATATCCTGTGTCATTGTCACTTTGAAGAAATTTGATGGTGGAGTTAAAGATATTACGGATGAGAGAAACGAAAGACTGAAAGTGCGCAAATACTTCATTTTTACGGCGCATGGGGTATATCCAAGTGTATCGAGAATATTCATCAGTAAATAGAACGTAGTACCTAAAACCAGTTTTAGAGACAACAGGGGACATCCAAACATCAGAGTGAATAATAGAGAAGGGAATAGTAGCATGATTTTCATTGATGGGAAAATGTAATTGAGTAGATTTTCCAAGAGCACAAGGCTTACAAAAATCCTTATTAAATTTAAAACCTAAGGACGATGAAAGACGAGACAATACAGCGGAGGACGGGTGACCAAGACGACGATGCCAAGCAGAGGAATGAATGGAAGTGAGGGCACACTTGGCAGAGAAAGGAGCGGAGGGAAGTGAAAGAGGGTAGAGACCATCCTTACATGGGCCCTGAAAAAGAAGATTACCAGTATGTAAGTCATAAATTTGGAAGAAATCAGGAGTAAACATGAATGAGACAGCATTGTCACGAGTAAAACGAGCAACAGAAAGGAGGTTAGTGCGTAAAGAAGGAACATGATAGACATTATGAAGAGAATGACATGAAGAGCCTAAATAAATAGGAATTGTACCAGTGGATGAAATGTTTAAAGAGTCACCATTACCCAAGTAGATGGAATCATTACTCAGGTAGGATTGTGGATTCTGAAGATGAGTGGCAGTACCGGTCATATGATGGGTGGCACCGGTGTCAAGGTTCCAAGTGTTGTCAGTGGGTTGTAGGAATTGAGCACCAGCAAAGGGTGGGAAAGACTCAGGTCCACGAAATTTGTGAGGACAGGTGACATGAGAATGTTGAGCGGTGTTGCAGGTGGGGCACCATGGTGGGCCAAGGATGCCAGGAGCTTAAGAGCGTTGACTGCTGTTGTTAGACCAAGAGGATGGGGGCTGTGGATGAGGCCCATGTTGCCACGGTGAGAAAGTAGGCCATTGAGGTGAGGAATTGGATTGTTGGAATGGCTGCCAGCTATGGGAGGAACCAAAAGGACCATTATGATGCAACGAAGGAGACTGATGTTGTGACTGGTTCCAGCCACAACCGTGACGACCACGGTTGCCACGACCACGTCCACGAGAACTGCCGCGGTTGACAAAGCCCCCACGATGTGAGTAATAGGTGGGAGGCTGGACGGCCAAGAGAGCTGTGGATTGACCGGATTGGACAAGGTCAGTGCGAGGATTCTGCGCTTCATATGAAAGCAAACGGGCACGCAGATCAGCAAAATCAGGAAGAGGAGGAAAATTTAAGAGAGCAGTGACAAGCATTTTGTAGTCGGGACCCAAGCCACGAAGAATGCCAGTGACGAGGTCCTTATTGGAGACCGGTTCATTAATCGCAGCCAGGGAATCAGCAATGGATTCGGCATGACGGAGGTACTCATCCACGGTTTGGGTGCCCTTCTGTAAGTCCATGAGTTGAAATCTAAGGATGGATTCACTGGCCACTGAGGTTTGAGAGAAGTGTCGTTGTAGGCAATCCCAAATGTTTTTGGATGAGTCACAGTCAATGGTGAGAGATAAGACTGACTCAGAGAGAGTGCTGGTTAGATAGCTGACAATGAGTTGGTCTTGTTGGAACCAGGTTTCATACGCGGGATTTGGTTGCGGTGCTGTTTGGTCAGGGGAGGATGCTGGTAGAGGAAGCAAAGGAGAGGGTTGAGGGGAGGAGCCATCAACATATTTCCATAAGCCATGGCCAATAAGAAAAGGTTTAATTTGACGGAGCCATAGAAGGTAATTTGTGTCTGTGAGTTTGATAAAGTATGAAGAGTTTGGACCAGGAAGAGAGGTTGAAGAAGATTGAGAGGCCATGAGAGGGTTTGGGTAGGAGGAATAGGGAAAAGAGAGAAAGGGATCGGTTTTAGGCTGATACCATGTAGAAGATTTGAATCTTGTATTTCATATGTGGGAAAGGTTACAATATTTATATTTGTACAACGGAGATATAAATGGTAATAGCCTTAAATGATAGTAAATACATAATATTTGCATAGCAGGTCAATGTTTAGGAGTGAGAAGAATCATATCCTGATTCTTCTCCCTTGATGAGTGCATTTGCTTTGACAGATTTTAAAAATTTCCAAGGCACTAGATTTTTTAGTTATTACATACACATAACCAAACCTTGAAAGTGAAGGTTATGAAATACCTAAAACCATCGTGAGTTGGATTGGAAAAAGGTCCACATATGTCTGTGTGAATCAATTCCAAAATGTTTGAGCTTCTCACAACTCCTTTCTTCCTTAAATTCATGAGTTTTCCTTTTGTGCCACATATGTGCTTTTGAGTTGCTTGAAATCCATGGGTAGTGAATTCAAAGCAAAGTGCACAAGCATGTTATCATCCATGTTAACATTGAATGTCCTGAGTTTCATCCCTATATTGATCACCTTCAGTATATGCATCCTTACACATTCGTCTCCTGCATATTTCATCTCAATGAGTTGATTCATCAAAATTCCTATCTCAGCTTTCTCTGACTCTTTGTACTGGAGTGCAATTGACTCAAGAAACTCCTTAGCATTGTCAGACACTTCAATGCCACCTCTCACTGATGGGGACATCGATTTCAGCATGATAAGTATAGATATCCTATTTGCCTTTTTCCATTTTGCATAATAGGACTTGTCTTCTGCAGAGGCTGTCTCTACAAGAACTTATGGAGCTTCTTCTCTCAAGGCCATGTCATAATCCAAGGAACCTAGAGCTATCTCCGGCTGTCTCTACCAGAACTTATGGAGCTTCTTCTCTCAAGGCCATGTCATAATCCAAGGAACCTAGAGCTATCTCCAAGTCTGCTTTCCATTTCTTGAAATTGGTACCAGTTAAGGTTTCGATGGAACTCAGATTCATAGTGGTGTTCAAAGCTGTAAGGTTTTTAACAAACAGGAAACATGTATGTAAACAAAACTGTCCCCAAAAAGATTGTACATTATTGATTAACACCTGTAGGCAATAAATCAAACATGTTTTAGTGATCACCAAGTTTTATCACACATGAATTTCCTATAAGAATAATCTCCTCACATTTGTGGATAGAAAGAAGATTTCATTAATCCATGTATGATATCCCTTGTATCACGCCACCATAAATTGCTATAGAATAGGACACCAACATCTGTGGATAGAAGGTGTATCTAAACTGCAGCAGTTTATAGCGCTAATTTGGCCAAAAATATTTAGAATACATGAGTCTTTAGTTGACTAAACCCCTGTGGCTTGTCTAATCAATACAAGAGCTCATGTAAACAGGCCTTTGAACTTGTAAAGCGTGCTTATGAAAAGAACTTTAAACGTAGCAGGTATAAAAATTACTGTGATCTAATTCTAATATTGTGGAAATTGATTTTATACACAGTATTTGGTATTTGATTGCTTTTAGATTCTAAATTATGCAGTTTAGGCTCTGATACCACATGTTAACTTAAATACTACATACCTAAAGAACACAAACACTTGCATACTTGGATTGGCCATAGGAATAGATGAGGATGATAAAGCCGAGATCTCGTCTGAATCAGAACAGAAGCCTTCCACTCAATTCGATCCTTTCTTCACTCTTATTCTAGATAGGGTATGAATGTTTTTTGTGATGATTTGATAGAATGAGCACGAGCCTCTATTTATGTGCATTGGCTAGAGAGTCTTGCCCATTGAGAAACTCTCTAGCTCTCCTAATTGCATTAGGTTTAGGTCTCCCAATCCACAATACGATAGGATATCTTCTTATTCTGGCAATTTACTTTAAAACACTTATACTTATCAGAGTAGCAGATTAGATTGAACATAAAACTCTTGATCAATATCAAATTCTAGAACCTTAATACAATCATAAGACGACACTTAGTGAGTCAAGACATATCTATGTCTTATAGTATTTTCTTGATTTTTCGTTGTTGATTATGTTAGGTTTGGTTCAACTTGCTATTTTGATTTCTTTTGGTTGCTGTTTTCTAGGTGCTGCATTGAAATTTCTATTTTGAGTTTCTGGTTTGATTGGTTTATGTTGTTTCTTACTTGTTGTTGGCATATAGTTCTTGGTTTTGAGTTGTTTATGGGATTGGTTTAGCTCTTTTCTTACTAGATGCAGTCATGTAGTTTTTGGTTTTTAGTTGTTCTGGGATGTTGCTTACTAGGTGATGCATTGCAGTTTCTAATTTGATTTTCTGATTTTATTGGTTTTGGTTGTTTCTTACTAGCTGTTAGCATGAAACTTTTGGTTTTCAGTTGCTGATTTGATTGGTTTAGGTCTCTACTTGCTAGTTGTTGTTATATAGTTGGTTTTTAGTTGTGTTAGGATTTTTCTTACTAGGTGGTGTAGTTGGTACAGTTGTGCTTCCTCCGATTACGAAGAGACCAGTTGGAAGACCGTCAACGAAGAGGATCAAATCTTTTGCGGAAGGTATAAAACCATTGAAATGCAGTCGGTGCGGTGTTGCATGTCACAACAAGAAGACTTGCAAGGCGGTGATATGAACATCCCTTTCTAGTTTATGATTTTTTAGGTAGAGATAGTTCTATAAATTTTTAGACAAGTGCTGCATTGTAGTTTTGTACACACTTCATTGCAGTTTTCCACACAAAACATTGCAGTTTCCATTTAATTAGAGTTGTTGTTTATGTAATTGTAGATATTATCATCTTGTTCTAACCAACTTGTTTTGAGATCATAACTTAACCAATCTGTTGTGAATGCTCTTCGATTTTCAGAGAGTGAATTTTCAAACAGTGAATCCCTGAGGTTTGAGTTTGTGAGTATTTTTTCTTGAAGTGTGGGATGAAGGAGTTGGACGTTTGTGGGAAGATGAAGCAGTTGGGAATGTCGTGGGCATGAATTTTGGTCGTTGTTGTGGGCGTTAGGGAGCTTTGGCGTTGCTGCCATTTAACATGGGATTTTTGGTTGCGTTGCTATCATTTTGGACGTGGGAGTGTTAAACGTGGACAACTATTGAGTTTAAATGAAATAGTAAAATTTGGCAATTTAATAATGGCATCTTTTGTAATTTTGAGATTTTTTTTTCAGTGCATGATTGTAAAATTAGATCTTGTTTGTTAGGCACTGACCTTATGTAAATTAGGTGAAATTAGATTCTTATCTTTCATATTAGTAAACTATATAGATTTGAAAATAACATCTACATGAATTTGAAGGAATGAAGAGAAATGTCAAAATTGACATCCCATAAATCTTCATGTCAACTGTTAAATAACATCTTTTTTCAACGATAGGCCTCACAATTATTTACTCGTGAAGTTTTATTGATCATATGTGCCCATGTACTTTCAAAATTATAATAAAATAAGATGATATTTGAAAATTGGGTGGAGTTAAAAATTTTACAAAGTGTCAAATTGCCATATGGACCAAATTCAAATTTAACATTTTGCATTTGACATCTACATTGGAGATGCTATGAATGCAACCAGCTTATTTACCGGGACGTTGCTTAAATCATTATACATAATTCCAAGTTTTTACACTTCAAATGTTCGGTTAATACTGCTCATTTCCGTCAATGGGGAGGCTAGGGATGGCAACGGGCCGGGTAGGGGCCAGGTATGACAATACCATCCCTGTCCCCGCTCTCCATCCCCGCCCCCATCCCTGAACCAATCCCTGTTTAATAGGTTTTGGGGAATCCTCGTCCCCGTCTCCGTCGGGGGACTATCCCCCATACCCGCCCCGAATCCCCGATTTTTTTTTTGCATAAAAAATAATTATCATACATTTTAACCATTAAGTTTCATATTAAATTATCATTCAACACATTCAAATTAACTATAAAGTTCAAATCAACTATTCAAAATCACATCAATATGAAAATCCAGAGAAGATTAGGAAGAATTAGGAGAGGGAGGTTAACTTAGTGTTAAATATAAATATTATAATTATATAGTTATTTATTTAAATATAAACATATATATTTTCGGGTCGGGTTCGGGGATGGGGACGCCAATACCATCCCCTCCCCATACCCATCGGGGATTTTTCAAGTTTGGGGATCCCCGTACCCGATACCCGTTTGGCCCCGAAATCTCCTCCCGTTAGGGTCGGGGACCCACCCTTACGGGGATTTTTGCCATCCCTTGCCCCCCATCCTCCTTCCTAACTTTGGCCAAAAAATAAAAAATAAAAACCTGCTCATTTCTAGCCCTATGCCTATGCCCTAGGTTTTCGATGTGGGGAAACTGGTAACCCATATGTTACTGGTTAACCAGAGGAATTATTTTACATATATATATATTATTCAAATCGCATGTAGAAGCGTATCCTCTTTCATACCATGTTATACAGCCAAGAGCTTTAAGTCTATAGAAGGTGAATTGAAGAGAAAAAGGAAGAAACAAACAGAGATATTGTTAGAACCAGCTGAACTCCATCTAACTCCGTCGGATAGATAGGGATTGAAGGTAGATGCAGAAATGGATTGAACAAGGCTTCATTAGTAATGCAGCTTCAGATTCTATTTGGGCTTGTACTTGAGGTGGACTTTTGGCATCAACAACAGCCGCTTGGAGAGAAAAGAACTACATTATCTCAATCACTGCTCGGCCAACAATGTTTCCCTTGTTCAAATCCTGGAACGCATTGTTCGACTCCTCGAATGTGTACTTTCTAGAAACGGCATTAGTTAAATCAAATACACCTGTTTCTGCCAACCTCACAACCTTAGGAAGATCCTGCCTTGCCCTTCCTCCATAAGATCCAATGATTTGTATCTGCTCCACAAGATCATTGCCAAACAGGTAAAGATGTTAGCTGAAATGAAACAGAGCATTCCTAGACAACTTGAGCTTAAATCAGCTCTTCCAAAAAGAAACATAAGACCAAATCTGGATTCAATGACACATGGGGATTTGAGCTAATTTTGTGGTCTTTTAGATGCAAGAGGAAGTAACTGTTTAGAACAAAAGGAAAAATTAAGGGTCAACATTACATTATTCCTCTTTGTTCTTTCATCATAAGGCAATATTTTAAGCTGTAAAACCTCATGTTCTTCAAATCTGAAATGGACCTACATAAATGCAAGACTACAAATGGAATCTGAAAGATCAAGCACGTTGCTTACTAGTTACTACATAATTTCTTGCAAGTGTTTCCCCAAGATTTCTCAATTCTCTTATCGTTCCTATAATCTTATCATGACTACACCTAATTACATTCACCTAATAAATATTGATGTGGTGCCACAAACATTATACCATATGCCAAAAATTGAAAATCAATTCAGTACAATACATCATTGATACTACTCACCTTTCTACGAACAAGACGATTTATATCTACTTCCCCAACTGAACCAGTTTGTGCAAGCCCAATCATTACAGCTTTTCCTCCATCTTTCACACTTTGTACACATTGCAAAAAAGTCTGTGGCCTTCCCAGGGCTTCCACAGCGACGTCCACACCCTTTCCACCAGTTATTTCCTGTCCACAACAAGTGAACTATAACAAACTAAACAGCAAGTTAACATTACAGGGATAGAACAACGAAAGATTTTGCTTCATCTCAAAAATTAGTTCAGCAGTTTATGTTCAATTTAAATCTAATATGAGGATATGTTTCTCAGCCATCAGAAGAGACATGGATCGCTGAGATACATTCAGATCTATTTCACCAACCAGGCATCTCATTCTCCGTATTCCATCTAACGACTTATAGACAGGTTCTTGTTTAAGGACCTTATTAGAAGATGACTCATTTATTATGGTTGGCTCCATGGAGTAGTTTAATATAGTTTGTTGGACTGCGTACTTGAAACACCACAAAGGAAGCCACGAAAACAAATTATTGACATCATAATGAGCACAAAATCACCTGTGTACTTGAAGTACCATTCCAATATTGTATCAAATCTCACTAAGAGGAAAGAGAATTTCTTTAAGTTGTTACCATTATTTTGCCAACAGCGTCTTCTTTAGCCGCATTTATTGCATGAGTAGCACCAAATATCTTGGCTTTCTGCAGTTTCTCATCTTGAACATCCACAGCAATAATATCAGAGGCACCAAATGCTCTTGCTATCTGCAAACAGCTGTAGCAAGTGATATAGTTATAAAATCTTTATAATAATTTCATGGGTGGATGAAAGTAAAACGGGCATTAAGATTTTAAAAAAAACCCACCCAAGATAAGCAAAAGTGCCTAGCCTTGTATGGATGAAATGAGAGCCAGTTCAAAATTAGAAAATAAAAACATGAATAAAAGACGTACCATCAACCTGACATGGATCCCAAAAGAGAACTTTCAGAGATTAAAAGGAGATGGAAGAAGAGAATGAAAAAAGAAGAAATTGGAAGAGAAAGAAAGAGACAAGGATGGGATAAATTGTCCAAAATTTATGTTGCCGTGACCTGCTTGTCCACAGATTGTAATCTTCTTTTCATTAATAAATTGTGTTTCTTCTAAAAAAGAAAAGGAAAGTTATAAGGCCTAGAAAGGAATTTCCATATCTTGGTGTTATTGCCAGGAAAAGCTTTGAACCTAATATGAGATTACAAAAGGAGTAGCAATTAAGAAACCCAAGTGATTGGTAGTTCTATTCCTAAGAGGACTACTCCTAGGCTCCTCTATAACTCGAGGATAGACCCCAAGGCTAAGAAACACCAAATGATAGAGAAAAAAAGTTCTCTTACTTTTCCTCCCTACAAATCTTGACAAAGACCTTGAAACTCACCAAGTCTTGCCACAATTTGTTTCCCTTCTAGATTGTGCAGCAATCGGAATTCATAGCCTTGGGTGAAGGTAAGTTAGCTTATATTCAACTTTGGTGATCCCACAGTCACATCCTAGGAAGGTTTCTAAAGACATAGAGTGAAGAGTACATGATGAAAATCTAGGAGGAGGCGCAGCCACATTAAGAAGAGCAAGGAAGAGGAGCGACCATATGAAGGAGAGCAAGAAGATGGCGTGACCATACAAAAGAGGGCAAGGAGGTGGTGCAACAAGCTTAGAAGAAAGTCTTTGCAGTGGATAAGGAAACATACAGCTTTGGTCTAAGGTAATTATCCAACCCATCGACAAAGAGTTAGATCTAGTTCATCTTTAATATTATCACAGAGTAACTTTTTGAAAATCACTTCCTATAGGAATAGTGAATTCAAAGAATGCATTATTTTATTCAATATAAAATTATGCAGTATATGTTATCTTATTGACGTATTGCATGCGTGATGTGATACGCATGCACTGATATCAATTAGTTGTGTGTGATAATTCACCCAAACCCATTGACCAGAACCATCTATATTTACATGGAATAAAATATAGAACTTGGATGTTGTGGTCAATGAACCAAAGTGTAGCTTAGTATTTACCATGGACTGTACATAACGTGCAACAGTATTATCATGCACATTTTTAATGCATCTCATGCTTTTTAAAACTATTAGGTTTGAATCATTTTTAACAGAAAGTCTGAAATGATGCCCCATAAACATCGATTATTTCCTACCTGGACACTTATGTTTGTATACATTTTATGCCTTCCAGGTGGAACTTTCTACCACAAAATAGTAGATGCTTTTATCCATTTTTATTCTTATAACACACACCTCCAAAGAGACAAATTAAACCAAGTTTTATAAATACAAAAATTTGAACACACAGGTCAATGAACATACAAATTTACTTGAGTACAAAGTTTACCTTGATCCAACACCCCCAATTCCAATCACAGCAATTGAATCCCCAGGACGCACCTCAGCTGCATTAGCCATAGCACCATAAGCAGTAAATACTGCACATCCTAAAATTGCAGACTCTGTGTATGGCAATGACTTCGGCAAAATAGTCAATCCATTTGCCGGCACAACACAGTACTCAGCAAGGCCTCCCATACTATACATGTATACTGGTTTTCCTGCACAGCATATAATACCTTTTAGTTATCACACAACGAAGGTGTGTACTCTACATGATTTAATCCAACCTTATCAAAACAGGAAAAAAGAAAGCAGACCTTCAAGGAGGATGAATTTAATCCATTTGTCAGGCATATGTGCAAACGTGGCAATCAAGATGAAAGATAATTTGAATTGAAAGAACATTTCTACTTTTTTCATTCAACTTCTGCTTTCTTTCTAGGGAACAATGGCCACATTCTTTTGATTATTCTTCCCATAACGGCACAAATGAAAAATCACTATTCAAAATTTTCAATATAGAGAAAACCTGATTTTTGCTTACAGCAAACAAAATTTGGATTAAACCATTTTGTCATATTTCATTTTTGTTTTTTGAAAAGAAAAGGAATGTAATGTAAAGCAAAAAATAATAGTAGCTAGCACATTTTTATCACAATCTTCATAGACATATTCTCTTTCTATTTTTCTTTATAGTATGTGTCTGGAATTAACCAAAAACAAAAAACTACGGATCTTGTATACTACCTAGACAAAAGGCGAGAAGAAAAACCCTATCACAGGTAAAGATTCTAAGTGATAGCTTAAGGAAACTTTGCTGCTACATGTTGAAGGGGTTCAACTTAGTCAACAAACTTAAGCCCTGCATTAGAATTACGGATACTAGAAACAACCATATATATATGGCTATTAAAAGTTCAACAGACTGACAAAAACAAAGGAAAAAGAAAAAGAAAAAGAAAAAGGACAGAGAGAGAGAGAGAGAGAGAGAAGAGCATGCTTACCACTGCCGTGGAGGAATAGCCGAGTCTCGCCATCATAAAGGGTCCCTTTTGCACGGTTATAGGCAAAGAAATCCTCACATAAATCATCATGGCCCTTTTCTCAATTCAGTGACCAAAAAAAATCAACTATTTGATACACATTTTTCTCTGAAAACGAAATGGTAACTACCACATTTGTAGAGCAGTCAATAAACTATTATTGATAACAACAGATTGGAGAGAACGATCAAAGTAGCATCTCTGAGTAGTATTACCTTTGAACAGTAAGAACAGTTACCACAAGGCATGATGAAAGCTCCAATAACACGAGATCCAATTGGTAATCTGAAAAATCAAGAAAATGAAACTAATAATCCACAAAGCCGACATCCACACACACACACACACACACAAGTGTAAACCTAAGATATCGGCCAGCCAAAAATGTACACAACTCCTCACATCCTCTACTGGACTTTTCTTGTTAGTCTATAATTTCCAACCTCGCAGTTGGATTAAAATTATAATATGCTCTTTCCTCATCTATTGAGCATGTCGAAAGTCAAATCAATAAGTATCGGTTACTTCATACTTCTTTTTCTTATCCACATAACTTTCAGTTTTCAAAACTAATGGTGCATTTGGATGATTGAGTTTAAGGTACTATGAAATTTCAAAGTAATTTTAGAAAATGGAATTTAAAATTCTGGAATTTGTAAAGTTTCTTGTTCGGTTAATCTATTAAGTATATGAGATTTAAATACATGTTAATGGTGCTGGTGGTGGTAATTGTGTTAAAGTAGAGATTTATGAACAGCGAATTCTAAGTTTCTTTCCATGTAGAATTTATACACTCATACCAGGAATCAGTAAATGTCATTTCAGAAATCTTGACTTTTGTATAAATTCCAAGTTTATGTTCCCATCTAAACACACCGCAATGTGATGGATTTACCACGACCCTTCTGACTTATATTTGTGAAATATCAAATCTAACGGTGAGTATAACTGCAAATTAATCCCATAAAAAAGTTATAGTAGTATGAAAGTTTCAGACTGGTGTCAATTGATGTCTACACTTGTTTTTTTCATTTGATGATCTAGATATCTACATTTTATGAGAGCAAATTTATAAAAATTGTTGTGATCTAAATGAAGGGCACCTTGCTATTGTTTTGGTGTCTGTAGCCGGTCCATGTTCAACAACCTCACCAGTTATCTCATGCCCCACGACACAAGGGCTAGCAAATGGAAGCTCACCTTTCATAACATGGAGATCAGAGTGGCAAACTCCGCAGGCTACAACAAGAAAAGAAAACACTAACAATATCAGACAACATTTAGTGAAGAGTAGTGAACACATGAGAAGTGCATCCACAATTTAGTGAAAACCAAAAAGGCACAAGAAGGGACGGACAAGAAACCAATCATTAGCTAAAACAAAAAAAGGTCAAGTGAGAATTTACTTGTGGGAAGATTAGAGAATTGAAATGGCAACACCCAATACATAGAAAAGGCAATCAAGCTTAATTAAGAATGCTCATACATCACATTTCAACAATCATATTCAAAGCTCCAACGTCTATGGCGCATTATCAGCCATCCACATGTGGTTCCGATTTTCTTTTTCTTTCTTTGGCCAATCATCTTTAAAACTAAAAAAAATTCTGGGTATTTTCATCAAAGAACTATGAATTAATAAATAAAAAATAAGTCAAGAATCAAAACCAGCATTACAGATTCAAAATCAATCACTGAAAGGTAAACAGGGAAATGAGGAACAAAAGATAATAATAATTCCAAAATCCAAAGACGAGAGAGTTTGAAGTCATATATAATATACCCTTGGTTTTGACGAGAATTTCACCGGATTTGGGGTGAGGGATGTGAAATTCCTCGAAGGTTAGAGGTTTGTTGGGTTCCCTGAAGACAGCCGCCCTCATGGAAGAAGGCAACCCACCACCACCACCCAGTGAGGCAGAGTGAAACCACCTGCTGCTGCTAATCTTACTCGTCTTCTCAATGCCATCAAATTCAAATTCAAGCTTATTGTTGTTGTTGTTGTCATCGTTCAGGCATTGACCCACCAACGACGACGATGATCTGCTGCTGCTAGTCTTTTGGCACAACCAAGACCAACCAGAGGAAGAAGAAGACGAGGAGGAGGAGGAGTTTGAGGAGACAAGTCTTTTGGCGATGGCACTGCGGATCATCATCTTTCTTTGTTTGTTTCTCTCTCTCAATCTGAATACTCAAGAGTGTTGAACAAAACAGACAACAATAGCAAGTCAGATGGGATGATGCTACTTGCTTGCCAGGGACAGCTCGCCAGGCGCGAAGATAGTGGCTTAATTTTTTAATCGAATTTTAGAGGAGAGGGGAAGGAAACTATTTTATAACAACTTTTTCTTCCATATTGTAACTTTCATGTTTTTTTTAATTATACAAGGAAATTGAAAGCATCCTAATCCGATAGGACTAACACGTGGAAAGATAAACCTTCAAATGGAAAATTAAAAAAAAAAAATTAGTGTACTAATCACCAGTGGCGGAGCCAGGAATCTTACCAGTGTAAAAGTCCCAATAAAAATTTTGTTGGGTAGTTGTACATGGAAAGACAACATTGGAGATATAAAACAAAAATTATTTTATTAATATTGTTCCAATTACTATTGCTTCATGGTGTGTGACTAGATTTATGGTTTGTAACTTGTGAGGTTTATTCTATACCATTCATGTCAACCCTTATTGTGATATGGCGTGTAAATTGGCGGACAACAAGTATAGGACCATCGATTTTCCGTTTGAGCCAGCAAACGGAGAAGCGAACACAGGACCATTTGAGTTTTTGACAGAGAGGGTGATGGGATTGGATGGTTTTTTCACATACATAGATGTTTGTGATGTTTCCTGTCAAATTGAGGATTGGAAAAGTAGGGAATTAATTAATGTTGGCATTATTTTTGAAAAGCCTCGAAGATTGAAAAGTATTGTAACTTTGAAATAATTTGTGGGCATCCATGGAGATGGTTGGAGAATAATGTGATGTGCTCTTCCCAAACAAGACAATCACTTGATTTCGGTCTTGAAATTTGATTAACTCTAGTCTGAGATTACATTTTATTTTGCCTCAATGGTATCTCGATTAATTAACTGATAAATGAAAGAAATAACTATATCTCAAAAGAGAAAAGAAAATGAAGAGATAACTATAAAAACATGAATAAAATAAATGAATAAAAACCAATAAAGTAGTGACTGTTGAGTTAATTGAAATTATTAGATTCCTTCTTGAGTGTAGTGAACTAAGATCGACTCCGTCTAGTCACTTCTCTTCACGACAACAGAGTTCATTCTTATTCTTCTTCATTCCAGCACTTAAGTTTTTATACATCCAATTGCAAGCTTTCCCATAAAACTCAACCAAGCTTTAGAGTTAATTCAGACGTGGCTTCTCTTCATGACAGTCCAGCTTCCATACCCCATTTCTTCAGGATCATTCTAGATAAGACTTCTAAAAACACCAGAATTGTAAGCACCTCTCTCTCTCTCTCTCTCTCTCTCTCTATTACTATGCTAAGAATGTTTTCTCTTAACATGTTCTGTTTTTGATGAGATATGGAGAGAATTTATCAAGTCCTGCACATCTTAAGCTTCCAAGTGGTGCAGAAATGGAAATAGAACTCAGAAGATGCAACGATGGTTGGGTTTGGTTTGACAAGGGTTGGCCAGAGTTCTCAAAGTTGTGCTCTCTTGACTATGGTAATTGGCTAGTCTTTGGGGGTTAGAATTGAGGAATCGAGTCTGGAGAGAAGCAGTGGCTAGAGAAGGAT